TATCTACATCGAAATCTCATGATTTATTTGTCTGTATCGATGATCTGAATGGGAGATCAATCATGCTTGAATGCATTAAAATTTTTGTCATTAGACGCGAACTTTAGACAATACAAGTTGTAACTTAGACACTTATTTTCGAGTCTAGACATAGTTCTTGTCTACAGATGGCCTGTAGTTTATCTTGTCACGTCTGTACGTCGATAGTCAATTTATACATTAACTCAATGCATAAAACACTCCATCATTAACAGTCATTAAGTCATTCAAGATCGTTGATAAATTATCATCATTTATTACCGGTCGTATACCGCGGCATTGCTTGTGTCAATTCGAATAAAATTATCGTAGGTTTTATTTTATAGGTTACCATTTATCTTTGTGCCAAATTTTCTTGAAATGTTGATTTTGATTTGCTCTAATTTCTTTGTTTTTTTTTTTTTAATCAAAGACATATTGACAGCAAGAAAATTGTAAATTTCGAATTAAAATCCAAATTTTATGAAAAGAATTTTAATGTGTTAACAAAGAAGCAAAAAAGTTACAAATAATGCTTCTATAAACCCGAGGTTTTAATACATCGCAGTAAATTTTTTTTTATACAACTAAGAATGGCAAACGAGCTGACGGCCCACCTGATGGAAAGTGGTAATCGTCGCCTATAGACATGAGCAGTACCATGGACATAACAGAGTATACTGTTTCGCCCATGACACCCCTCATGCGTTGCCATTCCTGAGGACTCAGGTGTTATTCCTCTGTACCCAGTAAATTCACACCATATCCCACCCTTCAAACCGAAACACAGACATGCAAACACAACTGCTTCACGGTTGAATATATTTCTTCTATTTATCATCATCATTAACTGCCTACTGCTACTCCCCCTTGGGGGACTTTTGCCAGTAGTTACCACGCTTGGCAGGCGAATTGGCAACCGCAGTTAGGCTTTGAGTATGTTTTAAGTGGGACACTGCGGCCCATATTTCGTCCTACCTTAGTCGCCTCTTACGACACCCACAGGAATGGAAGAGGTGGTCCATTCTATGCCAGGACTACACGAAGAGGTTATAATTTGTTGCAGTTGGGGAGAAAGGGATTGTTAGCAATGGAGTTTGACAGCCCCATTGCTAGCAATATGCCTTATTAGGTCGACCTCCACGTGGTTCCCCCGGGAAACCATTGTGAACAATTCTTGTTGAATTCGTCACGATGGGCCAACTGACTTGCTTTCATCGTCACCTATTATCTTTCACTGGTGCCCCGCCGGTCTATACCGATAGCGCGGGTGGGGTTACCATTCCATTATCATTCATTAAAAAAAATTTTGCAGTTTAAATAGTTCGGATATTTTAGTAAAAATATGCAATAATAAATTATTTTCTATATTTTATGTTAAACTAAAATGTAAATGTTTACATTTATTTGGCAATTCCACGCAACGTATTATTAAGTAAAAACTTAATACTCAGATTAACTTAAATGCAATAAGTTAAATAATCGAACCCATAGTTTCATATCTTGAATAGATGACAAGTATATTACATTAGTATATAAGTAAGGGGGGAAAGGGATTGTTAGTAATGGAGACTGAGAATCCCACTGCTAGCAATATACCCAAACAGGTCGACCTCCTCGCGGTTCCCCCTGGAAACTATCATGGTTAATTCCTGATGAATTCATCATGATAGGCTAACTGGCCTGTTTTCATTCTCATCTATCACCCTTCACTGGTGCTCCGCCAGCGTATCCCGTTAGCGCACGCGGGGTTACCATTCTACTCGTATTTTCACGCATCAAAAAAAAGTATATAAGTAAAGAGAGTAAATATATAAGTAAGAGAGAGAGATAGAGTAAATAATCAGTAAATTAACTCGTATTTTACATCAAATGTAAAATACAAAATGATTTTACTGGTTATTTTTGATGTATGTACATCCAGCTAGATCCAAGTTTAAGGTAGGGTAAAAGAACTTTTTGATAAGGCAGAAGGCACAATTAAATCGTTTTAAAAAAGCAAATCTGCCTGCCTTTTCGAGACCTTTCTTTTTAAGGTAGGCCCTGTTATAGTAGGGCATTGCACCTCAATGCCCCCCTCCCCCCTTAGCTACGGCTATGTGTATATCTCACCTAGAATTGTGTGTGACATCAACCAAATAGTACATAGGCACACTTCAAGTCTAATAAGAACAGTCTTTGTTCCCACCCGGTGGGTAGTCTCAGGCGTGGGTGTCCGCCGCACTCCATCCATTCTCACACTTTCGCTTTTTTTTTTTATTAATTGGCCATACTTTCAACGAACGTATATTCTAGTAGGCGATAAAATTAATCATTTGTTTTGATATCGTAGTACTTACGTGCCTGCCTCTCGTTATAATTGTATGGGCGCATCTTAATCTCCAAGATCTAGTTTCTTGTTCTTGTTTGTAGTATTAATGAAAAGATAAAAAGTCTTTTTTTATTCTAAAAAGATTGAAGGCCATATTATCTTTAAACCAATTTAAAAAAAGGTTGTATTTTTTATGTTTGTTATTCCATAAGGCGTATTGACGGCAGTCAATTATGAACGGATTTGGAAAGTTCTTTTTTATCTAAAAGATGTTACAGATTAGTGTCATTGAAATTTTATATAAAAAAAAAGCTTTAATAGTTTCGCTTTAAATTCCAAATAACTGGTTTTGTTAGAACTGTTACTAATATATAATGTTAATTCCTAACAATAAATGTTGATGCAAAATAGAGGTGATGTAATTTGAAACATTTGTCTGTCAGTCTGTCTGTCACAATTGTACACCCTGTTTACTCGTACGCGTTGAGGGGAAAGGGATTGTTAGCAATGGGGTTTGACAGCCCCATTGCTAGCAATATGCCTTATTAGGTCGACATCCACGTGGTTCCCTCGGGAAACCATCGTTAACAATTCTCGTTGAATTCGTCACGATGGGCTAACTGACCTGCTTCATCCTCATCTATCATCCTTCACTGGTGCCCCGCCGGTGTATACCAATGGCGCGGGTAGGGTTGCCATTCCATTATCATCCATTAAAAAAAAAAGCTCGTACGCCCCTCGAGAAACTTTCTTCTCCATCAATGTATTTTTAAATATGTGCACGGCATACCGCCATTTTGAATTGTCATTTTTTTTCTTTTAATACCACACTTAAATAAATTTCCATGATATATTATTGTAAATAGAGAACATACCATCAGCATACCTACCATCATTGTCAATCATTCCTTATGATATCCCACTGCTGGGCAACGGCTTCGTCCAAATGTTTCCACCGCTAACTAAATCTCGTTTCTGCTGTAATCATGACTCTATCGTCACCACAGAGACATCGATCGACAAATACCTCTGGCTACCTCATTAGAGTTTATAGCCGTGAATATATTTATTACATTTTACTTCAAAATTGTTTCGCTATTGGGTAGGGTGCGTGTTAGCTCAAACAGTGTCCTGAAGACAATTGCTGGTAAAATGGACTGTCCCATCCTAAAATATTGGATGGGACAGGTTATTAATGCAAGAGCGTCATGACCGCTCATTTCTTACATAGGTTAAGTCAATTTATAACTAACATAATGGGCCTTATGTAGTTTGAGTAAATTTTTTTTTATACAACTTAGAATGGCAAACAAGCTGACGGCCCACCTGATGGAAAATGGTAACCGTCGCCTATAGACATGAGCAGTACTATGGACATAACAGAGTATACTGTTTCGCCCATGATACCCCCCATGCGTTGCCATTCCTGAGGACTCGGCTGTTATTCCTCTGTACCCAGTAAATTCACGCCATATCCCACTCTTCAAACCGAAACACAGCCATGCAAACACAACTGCTTCACGGTTGAAACACGAATGGGACAGAGGTACCCAAGCAATCGACTTTTGTACAAAGTCTCCCTCTGGTGAGAATAAATATTATTATTATTATTAGTATCGAATGACAAGTATTGCGTTCAAATAATTTCAAATTCTAACTCTCTGATTTAATATCAATTTAACAATAAAAAAAGTTAATGAAGTAGTAAAGTTTTAAATTTACACGATCGATTGACGAGAATTTAATGAACTCACGATTACCTTTTTCCGTCAAATGCGACTTCATTAAAATTCCTCGCAGTTATGTAAAGAACTTCAATTTAAATTTAGCTATAAAGGGGGGAAAGGGACTGTTAGTAACGGAGACTAAAAATCCCATTGCTAGCAATATACCTAACCAGGTCGACCTCCACGCGGTTCCCCCTGGAAACTATCATGGTTAATTCCTGATGAATTCATCATGATAGGCTAACTGGCCTGTTTTCATTCTCATCTATCACCCTTCACTGGTGCTCCGCCAGCGTATCCCGTTAGCGCAGGCGGGATTACCAATTCATTATCATCCAATAATAAAAAAAAAAATATAGTTATAAACATTTTAAAATGGTCTATTTATTTTTTACCCTGTGGTTAAATTTTATATAACACTTCTAACATTATCCGTGTCTCAGGGATATGTGGGATATGTAAGTCAGGGTAAAAAGTATCATATGCCCTTCTCCATCTGAATCATCATTTCAGCCATTATCCGTCCACTGCTGGACATAGGCCTCCTCCATAGACTGCCATAAAGAACGGTCCTGAGCCACCTGCATCCACTGACTGCCTGCAACGCATTTCAGGTCGTCACTCCATCTAGTGGGGGGTCGTCCTACACTGCGTTTACTCGTACGTGGTCGCCACTCAAGAACCTTTCTTTTCCATCGGTTGTCGGTTCTTCGAGCTATGTGACCAGCTCATTGCCACTTCAGCTTGCTTCTCCTTCTCAATATTGCTTGTATATCAAATTTTAAGAGCCCATGAGCATCGAGGCCAGGGGTTAACAAACAAACATACTCACTTTTATATTTATAACATTAGTAAAGATTTAAAATTAGATTTTTTTTTTATATTTTAATTTTTTTTACACAAAACTCTCCAAGTCAAGGATCGCTCCCAAATAAAATGTCTCATATTTCTCAACTTATATATTGCTAAAACTTATAAAAAGTCACATAGTAACACATAAAAACAAACTTGTACTATATAATTACCGGGCGGCGCAATATGCGCACGCGCCGGTACAGACTCACGACGGACAAACAAAACAACGCAAATAAAAACAATTCGAACTCTTTGAACGGTGTAAAATTAAAAAAAAAAAAAACAAAAAATTCTATTGCTCACATTTTGCGTGTCCATTCCGCTCCTCTACTAATAAAAAATACTGAAAACATTGTTTTTTTTTATACTTTTTAAATAATACGTTTTCACGGTAAACATGTCTGATCATAGAATTTTCATTAGTAGAAGAATCACCTTTTTTTTTAAAAAAAAAAAGAATAACTAAAACAATCTTTAAACAAAATGCTTACATTCATTTTTGTAAACAGAATGTAAGCATTTAAATAGCTTAGCTTTAATATATAGCCTCACGATATCTTTGAAATATGTAATATAGAAATAGCCTGTAATAAATCTCGACGTTACAATACATTATTTCAAAGTTTTTATCTATTTTTTAATTAATACCCTAAGTCTAATAGTCGTAAAATACGACCGTGGACACTATCAGACCGTTGTCTTGACGAGCAAAACAATGGAATGGATATCTTAGAACTCAAACCGTTTAGGAAGTGAACATATCGGACAAAGAGATGGTGGTAGTTACAATTTTAATGAGGTACACATTTTTGAAATACACTTTTGTCTATGCTCACTTCCTAAGGCGCACGCAAAGCCAAATGATAATCGCGTATGCTTCCGAGGAGTGAAAAGTTTGAGAAAAATTTTGAATTCGCTTAATGCCAATAACACATTCGCCTTCGCGTACGCCTCTCGTAACAACACAGATACTGTACTTACCGATTGGAAAGCATCTCGAGTATATTATAATATATTTACAAACACATCTTGGTATGGTTGGTAACAATTAGTTAACAAAATGACTATGTAGTTATATGTCTATATGTACAAAGTGTCATGGTTGGTACCTTCTCTAGTCCCATCCGTGGTGCTCGTGGTGTATCGGTACCCAAACCTTTTGCCATACTGGCTTCCACACCTTCTTCCACGCTGGCACCTCGATGGTCTTCCACACTGGCACTTGGATCTGTTTCCATTTCTCTACCCAGATTTTCTTTTGTACCGGCACCCAGATCTCTTTCTTTACGGTCTTCCAGATTTGTACTTTCTCCTCTACCCACTCCTTCTTTTTCTCTGTCACCCACGCCTGCTTCTTCTCGGTCCTCCAGATTTGCTTCCATTCTTCTTTCCATTCCAGTTTCTTTTCAGTTACCCACTCCTGTTTGTGCTCGGTACGCCACACCTTCTTCCATACTGGTTTCCAGATCATCTTCTTCCTCCAGAGGTCGTGGCTGGTGTACTCCCATCCGTGGTCGTCCTTTCCTAAATATTTCTCGCCGGGCACGCCCTCCTTAACCCAAGCGGGTATGAAGTTCTGTTTCCATTCTGGAACCTGTATGGTTTTCGTTACCGGTACCTGAATCTCTTTCCAAACTGGTTTCCAGATCTTTTTCCAGTCTGGCACTTGTACTTCCTTCCACACTGGAACTTGTACTTCCTTCCAGATAGGCTTCTGCACTACTTTCCAGGCAGGCACTTGCTCCTCCTTCCATTGTGGGATTTGCTCTGTTTTCCAAGCGGGCACCTTTTCTTTCTTCCATTCAGTTTTCCAAATCAGCTTCTTGTCCGTTTTCCATATTTGTTTCCACTCCTCTTTCCAGACGAGTTTTTTCTTCCAAACTCCTTCTGGTGGTGAGTGCCATCCTCCGGGGGACCTCTTCTCCCTGGAGAGAGGTGTGTCCACATCCTTGATGGGTACAGCAAGTGATGCTGCCACTGCCAGCACCACCCACAGCTGTAACACACATAAAAAATAAAAATAATGAGCAATTAAAAAATGGAATTAAACTTTCTATTTCATACTCGCGAAATAATTCGAGGAAAGTTATTGTTTAAAATTTGAATTGCAAAATATAAAAATTTTGCGTTTTATTTACTTTATAATTATCTAAAAATAATTGTTGTATACGCATTTGATTTGCATTGAAATGAACTTTCACATTGTTATTCAGTAGTTTTAAATTTTTAAGTCTCTATACGTTACGATGTATTTGGGGTTTATATTAGAATGTATATTTGAATAATTGATTGACGGTGCACGGGTAATGCGACATATAAAAATTAGTGATACTATACAAAACGGGATCGCGAAGTTTTTTCTACGACTCTATAAAATTACCCACTATTACATATAATTCATTGAAATCGATCGCCCGCGTAAATATATGTCGCACTATACCCGCAACGCACTGTCACTATGTATCACTGTATTGTAAAAACCACAAGTAATGGCCACTTTTTTTCATTCACTTTTATTTATTTATTTATTTTTTTCTTTTTACTTTTTTTTTTAATTTACAATTCACATTACAATCCATGCGACCCACCGTGAAGGTCAGCGTTCTCATTTTGGTTTCAAGTCCGCCGCCGCGACTGACTCAGATGTGTGAGCGCAGGCTTTTTATCATTGCGCCCCTCTACGGCCGGGCTGGGCAGACGTGACGCGTTTTCCCAACATATCGTCGTGACCGGAGATGAGATGGTTTTTCTGAACTATTCCATCAATTGTGGCCGCCTAGTTGAAACATTGCCTGGATACCATCACGCACATTCTATTATGCAATATTGTTTATCGATACACTGTATTTGTGGAAATATATATATATATATATATATATATATATATATGTCTGTATGTATGTATATATATATATATATATATATATATATATATATATATATATAATACTAGTTTATGTCCTCGACTTCTTTTGTCAGAGTGGGTAAGAGATTATTAGAAATAAGAAAAAAATATACCCTACCAGGTCTACATCCATGCGGTTCCACTACATCCTTGCGGTTAACCACTGTGGTTAAAATTTGACGAATTCATCACGATGGACCGACTGACCTGCTTCATTCTGATTTTACCAGAGGGAGACTTTGTACAAAAGTCGATTGCTTAGGTACCTCTGTCTCATTCGTGTTTCTACCGTGAAGCAGTTGTGTTTGCATGGCTGTGTTTCGATTTAAAGGGTGGAATATGACGTGAATTTACTGGGTACAGAGGAATAACACCTGAGTCCTCAGGAATGGCAACGCATGGGGGGTATCATAGGCGAAACAGTATACTCTGTTATGTCCATGTTATTGCTCATGTCTATAGGCGACGGTTACCACTTTCCATCAGGTGGGCCGTCAGCTTGTTTGCCATTCTAAGTTGTATAAAAAAAATTCTCATCTATTATTGCTCACTGGTGTCCCACTAGCGTATACCAAGTGTATAGCGTATACTGGGCTATTGAGCCCAGGCGGGGTTACCATTTAATTTTCATCTATTAAAAAGATCTCCTTTTAATAGAATAGAATAGAATAGAAATCATTTATTCAAATAAACTTACATTGAAGCACTTTTGAAAAGTCATTACATTTTTTTTTAATCTACTTTTTTAATCTTATATATATTCTTTATTGCACTTGTAAATTACATGTAATATAGCATTTATAAATATTGTGAGCAAGGGTGGACTTATCTCTGACAAAGATCTCTTCCAGTCAACCCGATATAGTTAGAAAGCATGTCGTTAGCGGGCAACTGAAGTGTTTTTACAGAATTAAGGCGACAAGACCAACACTGCACTTCATTTCATTGGTGCAAAAACCACGCATATAAAAAAAAAAAGAAAAAAGGGGTAAACTTTTTCATACAATTTTGCGTGATAAATAGTTATGAGTGATTCCTTTATAACTTCTATATTTTTTTTTTATAATTTTATATTAATCTATTCTCAATTTAACCACAAACTTAATTCAATATAACATTAAAAAATTTAAAAATATATATATTTAAAGATAAAAAATTTCTTTAAGAAGACTTCTATATTTATTTTGTCTTACAAATTTTGCACCTTTTCAATACGCAAAACTAATTTTATTAATTAAATAATACGTCAAGATACATTATGTGCGTAAGTATATAGATCAATAATAAAAAAAAAACGAGTCAGCTAATTGAAAAATTAGTTGATAAAAACATAACCCGTTTTTGAGGTTCGATGCTCTATCTATACAATCTTAAGGCTGTACATAACTATTTACGTTACAGAGAGTGTTCCATTTTTAAAATGAAATATTTTGTTGTATTTTTTTTTAACGGGTGAAAATGATATGGTGACCCCGCCTGCGCTAACGGGATACGCTGGCGGAGCACCAGTGAAGGGTGATAGATGAGAATGAAAACAGGCCAGTTAGCCCATCATGATGAATTCATCGGGAATTAACCATGATAGTATCCAGGGGGAACCGCGAGAAGGTCGACCTGGTTGGGTATATTGCTAGCTATGGGATTCTCAGTCTCCATTACTAACAATCCCTTTCCCCATTTTTTTTTGTATTAGGTACCTAAGAAGTTTTCTATTTAAAATTTATTTCTGTTTAAGATGTCACTAATGATTTCTGCCTCTATATAACAGAAATGCAGTACGTGTTGTCGGTTGCAACTGATAAATGCGCCCATTATGGCATTAGTCGTGTACCATCAATCAACTGATGATCCGTGCCAACGCTGCCATAATTTGTAATTCCATGTACGAACATGTTACATAATATAACACAATATTACCGGATTTCTAATTTCGTGATGGAATTTTTTTTTAATGTTTCTCTTTATGTGAACGGGTGTTAAAAATCTGCTATATTTTAAATTTTAAATGAATAATTTTAAATTATACATTTAATATTTTAAATGTAGCAGATTATATTAATAAATTGGCTAATAAAATAGAGTAAAATAACATAATGGCTATTTTACGTTATTTTAAAATAAATAAACGCCATGTGGTCCTAACATAGAATAGGCCACCCCTTCCTTTCCCGTGGGTGTCATAACAGGCGACTGAGGGAGAGTGAGGGATGGGCAGTGTCCCTCTTCGAACATCTCCAAAGCCTAATTGCGGTTGCCAATTCATCTGCCAAGCGTGGCAACTACTAGCAATATCCCCAATGGGGAAACTTATGTTTAGCAGTGAACAGTTAAAGGCTGATATGATGATGATGAACATAATGGCTGATTTATTTATTTTTTAATTTATTTAATGTGTGCGTGTAATTATTTTTGTGTTGAAAAAAGTTAAAATTTAAAGTTTTGTTTCAGCTTTTTCAACTTGTTAATTTGAATTAAGAAGAATGAAGAAATTAATCTTTTTTTATTATTATTGTTTATATTTTGCTTTACAGGTTACTCTCTTACTATATGAATATATTCATTTCATCATCATTTCAGCCGTTATCCGTCCACTGCTGGACATAGGCCTCCCCCATAGACTGCCATAAGCAACGGCCCTGAGCCACTTGCATCCACCGACTCCCTGCAATGCATTTCAGGTCGTCACTCCATCTAGTAGGGGGTCGTCCTAGACTGTGTTTACCTGTACGCGGTCGCTATTCAAGAATCTTTCGGTTGTCGGTTCTTTGAGCTATGTGACCAATATGAATATATACCCCTGACTCCCTGCAATATGAATTTAATAGATTAAAATATTTGAAATTAGAACACGATATACCGAAATAGATTTTGCTGGGCAACAACTAGTTTTTTGTTTTTAAAAGAGAAACATTCGTGTATTGAAAATAAATAAAAAAATAATAAATTGTAATTGTTAATACAAAAATGACGTGATACTAGTTATCTGGCTCGGGTACATACAGATAGATGGAATTTTCGAAAATAATATATAGCTTTTACCTGCGATTTCATCCACGTGGTCCAAATATGTTCACTTACTGGGTTAAAATTAAACCTTCTTCATCCCATATGGTACCAAATTTCATAGTGATTAGGTAAGCCGTTAAGGCGACATGAGATAGCAAACAAACGAACATACATACAAACTCACTTTCACCTTTGTAATGGTAATAAAGTAATAACTCGCTGATAATATAGCTTTTTAAAAGTAATAAAAATAAAAAAAGAATTTTTAAAATCGCCTGATTAGTTTTTAAGTTTAACCATAATAAATAAACAAGTAAATCGTTCCCAATTATTCTATTTTATTTTTATTTTTTATTCTTTATTATTTTGCTATTTATTCTCGTAATATTAATATAGACTAAAACAGAAAAGAATCATTAAAACTGGCCCGCAGACTCAGGTACGACACGTACGTAAAACACATTACTTTCCATTTTGCCAGGTGGGTAATAAACCTGTTCAGTGGTAATGATACCTTACACCCATTCAAGTGAAACAAGTCGTCGCAATTATAACGATTGTATAGTTATTTATTATAATTGTCAAGAACTTTTGTTACGCGCTTATAAGACTAGCATATTTTATGTATAGCACTACATCTGGAGCCATATACTCTATGGTTGCGACCGTAGATATAGGTCTAAATAGATGTCGCAATGGTATGTATTTTGATTTCTTTTTTTCGCAATAAAATAAACGTTTTTGGTCAAAATAGAGTATCAGTGTTCTGCTCTTTTGATGGCAAAGCAATAAACTGAGTTGTGACCATTACGTGTTACTGTGACATACTCAGGAAATAAAAAAAAAAAATATTTATTTCTATGCTTTTGTACATTATAGTATAGATATTAAATTATTAGAAAAATGTACACAGATTTATCCCTTAAAGAGATTTCTCCCAGTCAACTCTATTGCAGGTATTCATAGATTACGGTAACCACTTACCATCGGGTGGGCCGTATGCTTGTTTGCCACCTCATTGGTATAAAAAAAAATTCTCTATTGCACCTAATAGAGGCTCGTATTGACAGGCGAAGTATATCTAGACACATCTACGTCTGTGGTTTCTATTGTGTGTCAAACAAAACCGTTTGTCATTCTCGCTGCAGACGGCATTGGGTGACCTTTACGGTATAACAGTGGAATCACGTAATATCTTCGTAATAGGTTCTCGGTTCGATTCCCGACCAGTGTGTCAGTGTAGACATGCCATTTCACTTATTACTTATTAACTTTTTCAGACAGTATGACAGTAGTTTAATATTATTGTTAAACAATAGCTGTGTTAGGTTTTTTTTATTTAATTTATTTTATACACGGTTCTGGTGTTGCCCATTATATCACATACAGGAAAGAGACGGAATTTTAAAAATGGAAGTGGAGTAATTTTAGGTATTAGTACTCGTGCGGACATAGTTACTATTGCCAACCGTTTAATGTTCCATTTTTAAATTTAATTGAAATTCTTTTTTATTTATATTTTTCTATACGGCCAACTACATATTTAACGAAAGTATAAAAAAGGAACTGTTTTCTACTTTAAATTTTAAAATACACGCATGTACATTGGTAAATGACTAAGAACATCAAATATGTTACAAAGTGATAGTCAAGTAGGACTCTCGCCCACACAATATAGGCTCGAAGCTGATTTGGCAAGGGTATGACATTTTTTATAAGTTCTTATTATTTTTAAATTTAGAAGCAGAATTAATTTTAAATGAATGTAGTTGGTTACAATTAATTGTGTTGTAGCTGGATAATTAATTAATAACGAATAAATAAATAATTGAAATAAATAAAT